CTTCATTACAAATACAAGAAAATCATATATGGCCATGTTTATTGATTTATTACCTCTGAAACCCTTCTGTTCTTTCGCCAGAATACAATTCCCTTCAAGGTAATCATTTAGTTCCCCATATATATATTTCTCAAATACCTTAGAGAAAATAGGTACCAGGGCTATAGGTCTATAGTTTTCTATATTGTCTCTATTTCCTTTTTTAAATACAGGTTTTATGATCACTGCTTTCAGTTTGTCAGGGAAAGCTCCAGCTGCTATACATACATTTATAATATGACAAATATGATGACAAATATTACCTGCCACAGATTTTATGACTCTAGTACATATTCCATCATACCCTACACTGTTAGTGTTCTTTAGGTTTCTTATAATATGCAATATATTAAAGGGTGAGCAAGCTTTCAAGAACATCGATTTCTGCCTAGAGGACACATACTTGGAATAAAGCAATTTATTTTTAGGATTATTCGGGACTATTCTATCTACAAAATAATTATTAAAAGCACTACATACTGCATTAGGATCAGTTAGGGTTTGATTATTAAATTTTATACGGGCTATTGATTCATTTGGAACGTTTTGTTTTGTGTTATGTATAATTTTCCAAGCAGTTTTGGCTTTGTTATCTGCTATATTAATAGAGTAAGTGTTTTGTGCTCTCTGGGTTAATTTGATAATTTTTTTATAAATTTTTGAGTATTGTTTAAATTTATTTTTGTTAGCATCACTGGGATTTTTCCTATATTTCCATAAAAGGGTCCTTTTTTTTTTTACTACATATCTTTATTCCACGCGAAACCCATTTTTGTTTTTTATGTGCATTTATAGTTATAAGTCTTGATGGGAAACAAAGATCGTAAAATAGTTTAAATAAATCATAGAAGGTATCGTAAGCTAAATTAGGGTCTTCAGTAGTGTACACCTCAGAAAAAGTCAATTTGCTTATACACTCTTTAAATTTCATCTGGTTTTCCAAACAATAGTCTCTTCGTCGAACTCTCCAACGTTTAAATAGGCAGATTTTTTTAACACGACATTGCAGTATTTGCGCTGTGTGATCTGACAATCCGTTCTCTATGATACTTGATTTGCAGTTATGGGGGAAATTATGAGCAAAATTATCTATACACGTCTGACTAATAATCCTAGTAGGTTTCCTCAGCACTAGTTCTAAGTTATAATTAAGGAGTAAACATTCGAATTCCGATGTCATACTGTTTTGCTTTAGAATATTTATGTTAAAATCACCTGCTACTATGATATTATGTTTTTTGTAAGTCTTGTTAATGTACTTTAATACCTTATCTTATATTATTTCAAATTATTATAAATTTGGGCTGGTGACATGCAGGTTTGGTTGCTGATGATGCGAAGTGCCTAGGACCATGTTCTTGCACGTTTCAATTAAATTCTCTTTCAAATTGATGAGCTGGACCCTAAGACATCTCAACTCAGGTTGAGCAGCAAAATGTAGGGGAGAGTAACCAATATTAAACCGGTGTTTAAATTGGACTACTTCCGTATTTCTACCAAAATGGCACTATTTTTTTTACACTAGCAACACAAAAAGGAGCGCTAGCAGCGCCACTAATACTCCGCTATTTTGTAGCGCTCCTTTTTGTGTCAATATACTTTACCAAATAGTGTCATTTTGGTAGAAATACAGAAGTGATCCAATTTAAGCGCCGGTTCAATATTGGTTACTCTTATATTACTTGTTTTGCGAGTAGTATAATATTGTAGTCTAGTCCAGCGGAATACGAAATTCAGCTCTATTTTAATAAAAAATAAGCTTTATATCTTATTCCCAACTAATACTCCTTTTATTTACTGCTCGGTTTGAGTTGACGTTTCTGTCTTCTTATGTCTGTGTGTCGCAAGCCCAAAGTGAAGTAACTGTAGGAAGCGAGGGGCGGGGCCGCGGTTTACCTTTTTTTCAGACCTGGCGTCTGGCATCTTCTTTAGATAAGAAAACTTTTGTAGGTTACAAAAATCTGAAAATTTGTAGTCAATATATCGTGTATTCTGCGAGGGAAAATTTGTTAAATCATTAATTTTAATTACAGCCATGCATCTTAACCCAATTTTATTCTTGAGATTTCGCAAACACGTTGTGTACGAATATATATGTTCCAAAAAAATACCCTAACTGAACACAAAACAAAGCTAAACTAATACTGAAAAGTTGTGTTACCAACGCAACGTATTAATACTAATACGTACGTACGTACGTACGTACAACGTATTAATATTAATACTAATATTTTGTGTGTATGTGTGGCGCTAGTGTGCCCGCCCCTTGTGATAGGAACAATTCCAAATGTTGATATTTTGTAGTTGAGACATTGTTGATTAGAATAAGTAAGACTGAAAATAAATTGATGACGAAAATTACGAGTTTTATTTCAACTTGAGTGCTCCGAGAAATTATTCGCACCAGTACCAGCCACAACCATCGTTCCACACGGCAAAATTTTCATCACCATCACCTGGATAATTGGCGCTCCACCACAGTGCGCTTTTCAAGACACTTTTTGCCGCACAACTAATCTGTGGAACAGGTTATCGTCTGCGGTATTGCCGGACCGATACGACCTTCAAACCTTCAAGAAAAGAGCGTACTCCTAGGAAGGAGTACGCTCTTCCTTTTAGGAAAAAGGCCGGCGTTTGTGACTCCCGAGTCGCAGACGTTCAAAAGCGACAGAGCCGATGAGTATACTGTTTTGTCCATAGTTATGCGTCGATTATTTCTAACGACTTTTTATTTCACCGTAGCGATGGCTAGGATTCGATCAAAATACGCGTTTATTACGAGACTAGACTTTGAAGGTATAGGTTTTAACACTACAAACCCAACACAGTTGAATGGCAATGCTAATTCACCGTGCAAGAAAAATAGGTCCGGCTTCTCTTAGCTAATTACTTACAAAATGAGCACCCGCTTCCCGTGATCATAATTTGTTATCATTTGTCATAATGTGTACTACGCATATTAGGCGACTGATACGTGAGCAGTAATGAGGACAAGAACGGTTAAAGGGGCACTATAGTCCATCTAATCTAAAAGGTACCGTTTGACAGTTCTGACAGATTGAAGAATAGCGATGGGTCAAAGAAATCGATTACTAAAATATCTGATTCTTAAGAGATTTCGATATCATTTCTTTGTATGTACTAATTGATTACAGTTTTACAGATTTATGTATGTTACTAAAAGCCCGTTTAATGGTATATCATAGGTTTTACTAGTAAATCTTAGTATACAATAGACATGGCCACGAGCCTACAATGATTTATTTAAAATTAGATTAACTTAATCTTAATTATGCATTTTCGTTAAGATTTGGATGTCAGGCGAATTTTAAGTATTATTAAACACTAAAACGCCTGGACTGAAAATGACTCTTTATTAATAAATTCCATTTTTCGTACATTTTTACGGTTATTCGTATTCAAGTGAATTTGACTACGGTAAAGGACCTAAATACATGACTTTAAATTGAAGTTTGAAAAATAAACATCAATTGTGTAAAAATTGGTTACTTTGTTTTGTTTCAAAATTTAAATTTAATCATTATGAATTGTATATCTTGTGACAAAATAAAAATAGCTACATAACTCAATGGTTTTACGGAAGAAGTTATTGAAATTGTGTGTTACGCCTGTTGTTGTTTCGTCTCGAAAAGTATGAAACGTCAAACGGTACTCGATTAAATGGACCATAGGCATTTATTGCCTTTTATTCCGTTACTTTGATAGTTCGATCAATCCAACAGTACGCGGAAATCCGTTCTGTAACAATTAGTTCTGTTTTTTAGGGCTCCGTAGCCAAAAACGGAACCCTTATAGTTTTTTCATGTACGTATGTCCACAATATTTGTTAGGCCGTTAGCCCCCATTTGTATATCTGGCAGTTTAATTACGACATTAGTTCGATTAGTGGAACAGTCCGTAAAAAAAACCTTAGATTATTAAAATTAAAGAAATCAAATTGAATTAACATGGAATAATGTTTTCTTCCTTTGTTCTAAAGAATATAATAAATAAATGACACAGGAAGAAAACATACATAAATCCACAAATACTAGTTATACAATGGCGGAAAAGGCACGTTTGCGTCAGCGTTACCACCCCAGCCTACTTCTGCTAGGGTGACAGATGGCCTCACCTTCCACCCCAGGCCTGCGTTTATGGAGGACGGAGATCGTTCTGCGATCTCGTTACTGGCCTGTTTCCGGGCCTGGCGGGCCGTTAGGGTTCTAAACCTCTCCCGGACCCGCTCCGCCATCTCCTTCGCAAGTTTCAGGCACTCTCGCTCCGTACCATAGCGGCAATCATGTTACCGAGCGAGTGAATTCACAGTCCGATGGCCGCCACGAGGCCGCGCCTCTGCTCAACACACGCCGGGCATTCTGCCAGCGTGTGGAGCGAAAAATCATCATGATTTGTACCATAAATGGTACTGACTAATGGTACAGGTGGCGCGGAAGGATCCATTTCTAAAACTTTGAGTATATTGCCAATAAAACGAGAGTTATTAATTATCGCCTTTAATGGTACCAATAATTACTTATAAATCTAAACCTTAGTAAAATAACAAAACACCTATAAATAAATATTTTAAAACGACATTTAAATTATTTAATTGTCACCTTATATAAAACATTAAATACGTACCTACTTACCAAAACTTACCTTGTAAACAATCAAAAATCTAGATGTATCTCTCTGCTTTGGATTCTAAATGTTTTTTCCTAAATGAACAATTGAGTCAATTGCAGAATCGCGGAATTAATAACAGCAAATCTATGAAATAATTTATCGTCGGATCTCTGATTTAGCCAGAGGTGTTTAGTGAACAAGACATCCGCAGCGACCGCGAAGAGTTAGCAAAACCAGTGGATTTTTACTGAGCTGTCTTGAGCTTTTTCTAAGAAAAATATTTGCATTGTTTTCCTACTATAACGGTATTCCTATTAAATATTTGACTATAGCTAACATCCGTGTCTAGCAGGTATAAGGTTCCACAGGACAGCTTCTGGCACAGACTTTGTCGAGCTGAACCACGACCTTGCTGCGCCGAGCATTCTGTCAACAATAGGGCGTGTGAGTGTACGCTTCGATCTTTTTACAGAAATAAGGTGTGCCTTTTATAAAAGTCCGTTTTTACTTCCCTTTCGAGTATGTTAATAAGTAAAGTTATAAAATATTGCTTATGAGAAGGTACATCATTGTCATCACCTTCCTTATTTTGATTGACTTAATCTTCACCCCCGGATCTAGGATTAAAAACTTGTTCCACAAAGCGGCTAGCATACGGAAGCCTGGTTGGCTCACCGTCTACTTGTAAGAAAAAAGCCCACACTACAAGTGAACTTATATATTTGTGAATTTTTTAAGTAATTTATCTCAAACGCTGGAAAGAGGGGCGCCACTACTATTAAGTTTCAGCCCAGATTTAAAAAAAATCGTAGATCCGGGGGCTGTTCATCTTGATGGTAGCGCGCAGGGAAAAGTGGAGGGAACCAGGTTCCGTGGCAGGGCACCCATGTGCTGGATCGACTAGGTGAAAAACGCAACAGAAAGCCGTGTGTCTGACTGTATCCGACAGTCCAACAGGGAGAGATGGCGGGAGATTGTACGAAGGGTTGTGTCCGCCTTTACCACCGTCGTGGACGTTTCAACGTGACCATGACTACTCTGCTAAAAGCGACACGACAAAGACGATGATTATGTGTACCTCGCAGAAGATTCTGAATGCAATCATCTATTGCTGGCTGCCTTGCGCCAACCCATCTATGGTATGTAATTGTTTTCAAAGAGGACAAAAGAGAAAGATAAAGTGGAGTATCAAAAACGGATATGATGAGGGAGGTAGGATAAGGGGAACTGAGATTGCTTTAGCTCGAATGTCGCGCGTCCTGTAATTAGAAGCCCATTCCATTGGTCTACCAATGGCAGGACCGTTCTATCTTCTGGACAAACAAATTTAAAAAGGGTCAAAAAGGTAAAAGATTTTTGATACTACTAAAAAGCTGTCGTAGTTCTAAAGGTTTAGTTCGATAAAAACGTAAGAGTGGCAGAAGACGAAGGCATGAGGTGGACTAACTTGGTGAGCGGGCGCGGCCACCAGTCCAGCTGGTCGCGGGTGAGGCGCAGCTCTTCCCGCAGGCCGGCGAGCTCGGTGCGGAGCGCGTCCAGCTCGCTGCGCAGCGCGTCCGTCTCCAGCGCCGCGGCCGCCACGCGCTCGCCCAGCGCGCGGCACTCGCGCCCGCACCGCTCGCGCGCTCTGCGAAACATATTTTAATCTAATACACACTGAGTGTTGGCGACACGTTGCCACAGCATGGGTCGCCACGGTCAAATATGAGAAAAAATGACAAAAGCTTTTATCAATAAACGTTTTTTTCTTTATTTACTTTAATTGAAGGACGATTTTACTACACTGAGCGGGCAATTGACCCAAACACGGTTCGCCCTCGTCTCAGTGTAACATAATTCAACCCAAAATTATAAACTCATTAGCTGACTTCTTCTGAAGAAAAATAACAATTTGAAAATTGTAGTAGGTATCTGTATGAAAACTTACTCTCGTTCACTTCGGAGCCGTTCGCTCGTGATCTCCAATTCCTTACGCTTCTCGTCTGCATCTCTTCTTAATTCGGCGACTTCTGTTTCCGCTGTCAGTAGTAAATTCTCATAATTTGCGAGATCTGCTTCTACCATCGTCAGCTAAGAAAGTTAAGTACATAGGTATCATTGAGATTGTCTTTTATGATGTCGCTATTTACAAGTAGTAGAATAGGTAGACCTACTTTCTATTATGGTAAGTGGCTAGTTGTTAAGTAAATGTTAAGTTTAGATGTCATAGATAGGTACCACAGAAGTAAAAAAAAACATTTTTTTTCTGTCAGGTTTATTACGAGTAATTTTGAATTACATCATTTTAAAAATAAATCATTTTCTGCATTAGGAACGTCCTGTGTCGCGGGGGACTTTACAAGCATACATAAAACGGACAATTGTGGATCACACAGTGTTGTCCCATGTGGTGATCGAACCCACAACACTCAGCACAGTAGGAAACGGCGAGGTGGTCGCTTAAACCACTACGCCATCCGTGTAGTCCAATTAAAATTTATCAGGAAACGGACAACAGGTTACTGTAAAATTACTACGGAACGTCGAAACCCACTTAAAGAAAAAAAGGTTTAAAATCATCATCTAAATGCTGAAAGAAAGTGCAGACGTACCCGGTCGCAGGCGTGGTCGCGCTGGTTGCGCGTCTCGGCGGCGGCGGCGCGCTCCAGCGCCAGCGCGCGCTCGCACGCGCCCGCCGCCGCGCGCGCCCCCTCCAGCTCGTTGCGGCAGTTGCGCCAACCTGACACACACACACACACACACTTATTTCGCACTCTCTTGAGAACAGACAACTTACACCGTTTGGAATGCCAAACCATGCGACTGATAGCGAAATGAAAATGTTACCTACGACGATCATCTACGACGTACCTACAGAATGTCAGTAGAACTCGCTGTATATCAGTATTGAAGGATACATTTTTTCAAGTACTAGCCCGTGGCTCCGCAATAGTAACCATGTCCTTTCTCAAGAATCAAAACATTTCCATGCCAAATCTCATTAAAATCGATTCAGCCTTTTAGCTGTGAAAATGTATTAAACTGACAGACAGAGTTGCTTTCGCATTAATAAGGAATTAATTAGGAAGGGATAAATTTAAAAAAAATCTAATGCTTACCAATACTCATCTCAGATGCACGATCTTCCGCTGCGCAAATATCGTCCTCTAAAGCCGATTTCTCCTGCAACGTAAGAAAATCATTACGGGCATAATCAGTAATCAATTAATTTCTACATGAAGATAGTCAGTTTTCATTTGGCGAAAAAATTTAACAAAGACTTACTCGTTCCAACACAGACTTCTCGATCTCTTTCTCCTTGAGCAACTGCTTTAGTCGTTCCAATTCCCGCATTGCCAGACGAACTTTGGCATTGTCAGAATCTAAAAGGGACTTCAGAGTGCTAATTTGGATACGAAGACGTTCTGAGTAAGAAACCTAAAAAAAATTCAACCAAAATTAAATATAAAACAACACACACAGAAAAGGATCGACAATATAGAAAGGTTCCAAATTACCTGAGTTTCCAAAGTCTTCCGCAAACATCTAACATCCTCCCGTCGTCGTCTCCATGCCACCGTTATCATGAACCTACAGATCTTGACAGCTGCCGTTTGTTCAGCAGCAGCGTTGACTCCTGGTGATCTCGGAACGGGTAGATCACCATCCTTTCTGTAACGTCATCATCATCATCTTGTCCTTTGCCATTATTTTTCGGTGAAATGAAATACCTCAAGAATAAACCCAACATTTACAATCTATTATTAAACACAGAATACTCTATTATAGGTGTGTACATACGAGTGCTGGCTTTAAGACATTCAGAACACCTGGACTATCTGACAGATAACTAAACAAATTTTGATTCATTCGAACAAACACAAACTTTAATATTAGTGTTGTCTTAGCAATTGATCTGAATTTTGGTTTGATTAAGTTAGGGGAATATTCTAAGTAATAATTCTCCTTTCTAAGGAGAGGCCTATGTCCAGCAGTGGACCGTTAAAGGCTGTTGATGATGATGATGAGGGAAATACTTTGTGTGAAATTTTCTCTCTGTGAGATTATTTCTAACTTCATTATTTTTGTATATCTACATAAAATATTAAGCTGTTCTAGTAGAACGCGTTACTTATGCCATTTTTTAATTATGAACCAATAAACTATATTAGCTTTTAAATTTATACATATCCTGTTTTAAATTCGAAGAAGTTATAATCAAAATAGTTCGTCTAATTGTTAATTGATGCAAAAGAGTTCGTCTATCGGTGAGTTCAATAAGATTTTTCATTAGTTTTCAAAAAACAATGGGTCGTGGCAAACCCGTGTATGAAGAGCTTCGAAAGCGAATAGTTTGTGGGGTCGATGCTGGCAAATCAAGTTACAAAATATCTAAAGACTTGATACTTCCCAGGTCTACAGTCTAATCTATCATTCAGCACTATAAAAAGAATAGAATGACTTCTTGTTTGAAGAAAACTGGTCGACCACGCATCACAAGTGCAGTAGAAAACAGACTCCTAAAGAAAATTATCAAAAATAATTGTCGTGCTCGAGCTGGAGAACTCACGGTGCAATGGAAGGATATGATTCACAAAGACGTCTCAGTTGATACTTGCAAAAGTCCTAAAAAGAATGGGTTACGGATTTTACACCGCTAAGGAGAAATCACTGTTGACTGCTGTACAAAAGAAAAAAGAGGTTGAAGTTTGCTCGTGATCATTTAAATTGGACTGCCGATCAGTGGCGTAGTATCATTTGGAGTGGCGAGTCCAAATTTGAAGTGACAGTCGGCGATGAAAGGAAAAAAGTGATTCGGAACAAAAATGAGGCATTTCATACTGATTGTCTCAAACGCAAAGTGAAGTTTTCGGCGTCTCTTATGATATGGGGCTGCATGTCTGCACAAGGTGTTGGTGGTATGCAGTTTGTGGATGGTTCTATCAATGCTGCAAGGTATCAAACCTTTTGGAAGAGAATTTACTGCCCCGTATTTCGTCACTTTCAAGATTCCTTCATTTTTCAACAGGATGGTGCTTCCTGCCATACTGCAAGGACAACGAAGACGTGGCTACTTGCGAAAAGCAGCCCTACAATCGAATGGCCATCTAACAGCCCGGACTTGTCGCCGATCGAAACTATGGTGGAAAATGAAAAAAGTTCTCCGTAAAAATCCATCAAGATCGAAGAGCGACTTAAAGGCTAAACTCTTGGCTGTCTGGGAGTCAATTACGCTTTAGGTGTGCAGCGTTGGTTGCAACCATGCCTCTTCGCATTAAAGCTGTCATTGAGAGCAAAGGCGACACAACTAAGTGGTAGAAGAACTATTTTGCGTGAGTGACAAGGGTAGACGAATACTTTTGCGTTATATTTTTTTGGAAATATTTTTTAAATTTTTTATGAGAAGTAAAGTGTGAAAGAATTTCACTTATGTTAAAATAAACTTTAAAATGTTCCTCAAATTGATGTTTACTTTTTACTAAACGTTCTTAATTATTTTACCAATATTTACTTTCTATATTTTACGCTTTGCACTACTTTCCATACTAGACGAACTATTTTGCATCGGGGCTCGTAAATCGTAATGCTAATGTCCGCAACTTTTGCAACATTAGCGCTATAGCAACGCAACCATTATGTTTTGCAGTGGAGTTAAAAGTGCTAACACGAGTTCTACGTGACCAATATTGCATATTATGAATCAAAATACATTTTCAGTTGCCTTTTATTTGTCTATTCCATTATTGTCGTCCAGCGTTGTTTTTCTCCAAACACAACTCCCGCCTTAGGAATACATTCCTGTGTCGCGGGGGACTTTACAAACATACATAAAACCGACACAAAGAGCACCCTTTTTTTTTTCCGTGCGGAAATCCCCTCGGATACCACCTGTCGGTGGCATGTCTGACTCGAACCGACTAAAACCGCACGCCGTCTCGGGTGCTAATAGCCGGGGAACCAGGTATACCCTAGAAAGGAAGTCCCTGGTGCAACACAAAGAGCACCCAGACTCAGAACAACAATTTGTGGATCACACAAAGTGTCGTCCATTTCGTCCGGAAGCAGCGTGGCGTCCTCTTAAACCACCGTGCAATAATTTGTGAAGCAGTGCAATAATTTTTTGGTCTAACTCCTGCAGAAACTTCACTAGCACTTACTTGTCAAACTTAATCCGTTTGGTCGGCGTCAAGTCTTCCATGGATACGGCTTTGGCTTTATTGACCGGTCTGACGGGCGTATCTTGACGCTTGTATTCATCCAAGCAGCTGCGGATCCTGGCCAAGTTCGGACTCGGTGTGCACCATTTCGCGGTAAACTTGTTAACAGGAGTCAGAAACAATTGCTTCTTCGGATGCACAGGCTGGAGACGACTGGTAGAAAAATGTAAAGAATTATAAATGTTAATGATTAACTTTGTGGAATAGGATAAATAACAGCCACTTTTAGAGCTCCGTACCTCAAAAGATAAAAAAGGAATCCTTATAAGATAACTCTTTTGTCCGTCTGTCACCACCGAAGTTCTCAGGAACGGGTGGACCTAGCAAGTTGAAATTCATACCAGATACTGAGGCCTATAGTCCCTATTAGGTGTATAAAAACGTCAACGTCAACAAGATAAAAAGATATGGGGCTGGGCAAATATAGATTTTCGCGAAAACTTGTAAGTACCAAAATTTACCTTAATTTTCACCTTTCTTTTAACCAAAATTGACAATTCTAGGTCAACCGGAAGTATCCTATAGGTTTTGGGTCGAATATGGTAGTTCCCGTTGGCCTAGAATCGCGAAATTTGTCAAAAAGCAAGGTCTTACAGCACAAAGGAAAAATTCCAAAAAATAAAAAAAACATAAAATACCTTAAATTTATACTTTCTTTTTTGGAATTTTTTCCCATACATAAATAGTTGACCCCAATTAAGGAGTTGTAAGGGCGCTCATACAATTTAGAGGACCAGCTTAATTGGCACCAACCTCAAATAAGGTGAATAAATAAAATGAAATAAAATAAAAGAAAGTATTATATGGTAATGGTATTCGACTCGCACTTGACCGGTTTTTTTAAACTAATATTTATTTTTTTACCCTTTTATATTTATTACGAGGGCAGAACTAAAGATACAGTTAAATATAAAATAGACCCTTCATGACATACGAAGCCGAAACGTGGACACTTACGGGTACAGCTGACCAACAAATTCAAATTCGCTCAACGTGCTATGGAAAGGGCTATGCTCAGAGTTTCTCTCAGAGATTGCATCAGAAATGAGGTAATCCGGCAGAGAACCAAGGTCACCGACCTACCGGATTAGCAAGCTGAAGTAGCAGTGGGCTGGCCATACTAGCCGAAGAACCGACAACCGTTGGGAAAAACGAGTTCTTGAGTGGAGACCGCGTCTCGGCAAACTCAGTGTAGGACACCCACAGGCCAGGACGAGCGACTATTTACGCAAGATGGCTGGCTGGAGCTGGATGCGAGAAGACCAAAATCGATCAACTGGCGTGCAAAGAGACCTATGCAGCAGTGACAAAAACTAAACGACATGGCTATGATGACTTTCTCCATTCCCCAAAATTGAAAAATCGGTGGGCGCATACAACGTTCGACACCCTCTTTTGCCACTTAGTTTTGTTTGTGAAAAAAAGTAGCCAAGATCTTAAGTATGTCCGGTATGTATGTAAGTTTAATATTACGGAACAAATATTTTGTTCGTGCAATATGAATATAACGTATCGTCCATAAAATATTATTGTCTTCTCCATTCTATACCATAAATAAAGGAGTGAGAAAAGTACAGAAGACACACGGCAACAAACGTCACATTGTAGGTACCTACTATTTTATTTAGCGACTTCTTTTTTCCCTGAGTGACGAAATGTATCTGTGAATGTGGGACACTATGACGTTAACGTATTTACCCGCTTAATAAACATAATACGTATTGTATTGATTCATTGAAATTAACTGAATGGGAGTGAAAAAATCCTACTAAAAAATTTTTTGTCCTACAAGTAACAGAAATAACGTGATAACTATATTTATATTTCCGCTTTTATTTCAAAAGATTGCATTTAGGATAGACAAAAATATTTATGGCCGGTTTTTCAATCCTCAGTTATACTGTCAGATAACTAACTTGGGAATAAATTTATCTTGCTGTTTATCAACTGAATAAACTGACCATTGAAAAATCCAAAATTACGCTAACTGTGGAATAAATACTACTCGTATTTAACTGTTTATCTGCGGACTGAAAAACCGGCGCGTAATTAAATAACAAAATATAAAAACTCAATGCCAAAAAATAATCTTGAACTGCCAGTTTAGATTTGCGCGCGAATACGAATATTTAGCAAGATGGTGTCCCTCATGTCTGTCACTGTCAATTTTTGACACGGTCGCAATATTTTTCTTGTAAAAATAAAGACGAGGAAAGGAAACCATTGGGATCATAATAAATCAACTTGAAGTAGACAAGAACCGAACTAATAAAATAACTTTTGACAAATATGTAATCATCACATGTTATCCTGCAAATATATTTGTGCGTTATTATTCTTGCTCCTGGAAGCTGTCCATTTCGTCTATGTACTTGAAGAAAGACCATCGAGATTTTACGTACTACGTACTATAGTACCTACTGTGTAACAAGTAATAAATGTTGTATACAACACTTATTACTTGTTACACAGAACTATACCGATTACCGCAGACGACTAGGGCGCCGGAGGTCGCAGAACGCTGAACGGTCGCTATGGTACGGAGCGAGAATGCTTGGAACTCCGCCGTCTCCTTCTGCGAGCATGTTATGGTTGCGAAGGAGATGGCGAAGCGGAACCGGGAGAGCTTTAACTCTCCCGGCCTGCCAGGCCCGGAAACGGGCCAGGTACCTCAGACGACTCAGGCGCCGGAGATCGCAGAACGATCTCCGTCCTCCATAAGCGCAGGCCTGGGGGTGACAGGTGAGGCCATCTGTCATCCTAGCAGAAGCAGATCGGGGTGGCGGCGAGCGCGTTACGCCCTTCCAGGAGCATAGAGTGAACATGGGGGTTCCCACACAGAGGGGTCGTCTACCCGCCGTAGATGGCCCGAGGTACGTCGGGGCACCAGGGATTTCCTTTCTAGGGTACACCTGGTTCCCCGACTGCGGAGAACGGAGAAGACGGAGTGCGGTTTCAGTCGGCTCGAGCCCGACATTGCCACCGGTAAGTGGTATCAGAGGGGATTCCTGCACAGAAAAACAAGGGGGTCTCACTACTTTTATAAACAGACTATTAATTCCTCTTAAAGTCTTAGGTGCATTAAAGTCTGCGATTCTTTTTTCAAGTTACTTTTATAGAACATTTTATCAATAACATCCTGTTCCAAATATTTATAACTTTGTACAGCACAATAAGCAAACAGCTTATCATTCGGCGATACGTGTAAGTTTTACTGTCGCCGTACGATAAGCGGTTTTAATGCCTACGAACACAACAATAAGACTGTTTGGATGTATGAAAACAGAAACAATATGTTAACGAAATCGGTGTGGCGACAGGGAATGTAACGATATGCCTGAATTTTTTGCTAAACTAAAGTTAATGGAGTGGTGGAGAATTTATTAGTTAATTTTATGAAATTCTATTGTGGCTAGTACCCCTCAGGTCAACCCAATCTCAGAAAAGGTATATGGGTTGTCATCCCTGCCTCTTCCGAGTTACCTACTGCGGCCCAACTTACTTTTCTCTGCCGACACTTTTGGTATTCTTTATTACTCTAGTTCCCTCCATGTCCGTTTTCTTTACCCTAATTTACCTACACCCTTAGCGGCGATAAGATAGCGTCAAGAAGGCATGCCGCCAAAACTTTTTATAATGCCTAAAATTGCATCGACGAAAACAGGAAATTAGAAACAATGCAGGATAATGTTGATAATGATTTATTTTGTACCTATATTATTGTTTCTATTTATATATGGCAATTTGACTTTGCATGTATACTGCAACTGATGTTGGCTACTTACAATGAACAAATAAGTGATGTTACCAGCAACCCTTAATATGCTTGTGGCGTCGATGGTGTAATCGTCAGCATAGTTGCTTTCCAAGCAATTGATTTGGGCTCGATTCGTGCCCGATGCACAGTTTTCGCTTTTTGTTATAATGTTTTATAACAAAAAGTGAGCAATTGCTGTGATAACCAGGCGGAGAAAATTCAAATATAACACTATTCTGTATCTTATGTTTAGGACATTAATATCCAGACGCTGTCACAGTAGGTGAGATCACGTTAGCCGTCTGAGTCATCCATAAAACAACAGATAAAATTTTATAGTAGCTTTTACTCGCAGTTTCCTAAAATATTCCCTCAGGAACGATATTCTTTATCTCAAGATTGTTAAAGACGTGCTTTGTGGGACACGGCAAGAGTTAAATTTATTTTTTAAATAGAAATAAATTTATGGGTTAACAAATGTTTTAACTTTAAAAGTCATTGTTTTTTTTATGATATTGGTATTTATACGATTGGTCACAGCTTTATTAAAATTTTATCTTAACGCCTTTCAATTACCGAATGGCGTAGTGGTTTGTGTAACGGACTGCTATTCCAAAGGTCGCAGGTTCGACTCCCGCTCAAGTCAAACATTTGTGTGCATGATCATTTAATATTTGATTTGGGTGTTTCTATGTATAATAAGTATGTATTTACAAATGTATATTTACAAATATTATGTATTCACGGTACCGCGGGAATTGCACATCCCTAAAGACCAAGCTTTAAAGAGAAACAAGTACACTGATTTAATCATACAAATAACTAAAAATGGTTATTTTGTTGCATTGTATGCCGAGGAAGTGGGTGCAAGGGGTATTATTAGCTAAATCCCTCTATAACCTACTTAAAGACCTTGGCTGGCCAAGAGCTTCAGTAAGCTATTTTCTTGAACGAATCGAACGTATCGTTAGGCAGAGGGGGTAACATAGCAGACAGTGCAGGTGAGCGCTGACGCGTCGCAAGGAGTACTCCCTTAACCTACTCATTTCTTAGGCGCTGTCGAAGTCGCATGTGTTGAAATGAGTGGTATTCAAGTGACATATCTAGTGGAGAATCAGCTGATCTGCACCGACCTTCACTTATTACTTAATTGTTACTAAATACACACATGCCACTAATCTAAAGTCGTGTTGAGATAAGTGCTTAAATCATCAACAAAGAACATTTTATATTTGAAAATAAATAATATTACGTAAAACTCACGCTGGTGGCGTAGTCTGCAGCTTGTGCCTTTCCCGTGACAGCTCTCGTTCAGAAATGTCTCCGGCGCCCGCCCTGGCCACCGGCGACACGCTGCGGGGCACTTTCAGTAATTGTTCTGGCATTTCTCAGATTATTTACTTTGTTTTGTATGAAAATAGTTTTATATTTCTGAAAAATGGCGATTTCTAGTAACGGCTATTGACACATTGAGTCTCGATGGTATGGTTCGGCAACGATTTCAAATTTTGTTTTTTTTTTCTATTACGTCTTAGTGTCCAGTATGCAAAACAGATTGGTGTGTCTACCAAAACCGTGACCAAAACTCATCCCAAATTGTGAGATCAAAATTATTAGTGTGTAATATAAGAGATGCGGGATTGAACAATCTCGACAATGATTCTTTTTTTATATTCAGTATTTTTAAATAAATGGTGAGCTTCTGAACAAGACACAGTTACAATTTATTATGTAGTCGCTCCCGTGACACATTTCTGTCCCTTTCAATCCCTTCCACTGACTGCAGGAATCAAGTTAGAAGAAACATGTTACGCATCAATGTTTCTCTCCGTGTACGTATTTTTCATTATATCCGATCAACTAATTGATAACTCTCCACATTCCTATCCCCCTCTCCCCTTTTTTCCAGGCCGAGAAAATACATTACCATTGGCTGCACCTGCACCTATGATTCATCGTACATCAACACTTCACCCTTGTAAAGTGTAAAACTTATTGTAATAATTTATTAGCGATTTACTTTTTGTAAAGTACACGCATAACTTATTGTAGAATAGAGTCCCGTACTCGAGGAGTCTATAAATATAGTCTGAGAACCAGGCCCCTCTTTCCCACTGGGCACTCTGGGCACGTACCCAGGGCCCCTCGATAGGTAGAGGCCCCCTAATTCCTACCTACCTACCTAATTCGATAATCGATATTTATTACCGAAAACCATATTTATTTAGAAAAATCCAGCGAAAATGGCTGATTATAATACCTTGTTTGGCTATTCTATTACAGACACTGATCAGTCAAGGTCGTAGGGGCCCCAATATCCCAATGTGCCCAGGCCTTCCGATAGGCTAAAGACGGCCCTGATGAGAACTACTGAATATCGCATTCCTCACCAAATTTGGGCAGAAAGAACCCTCTCAAAAAATGTACCCGTCTCTGGCATATGATGGGCCTCGGATGGGCCTGTAGATCTTGACTTCGTTAACAAGACCAGCTTCCCACTTTTCCAGCACTCACGGAAACGTCCAAACGCCAAGCAAGCGTCGAACATCTTCCTAAGGGGGTCATAGACATAGGGTCGAGGGCTAGGGTAAGCATTCGAGCAGGTATCCCGTCTAGTGGGGGGCCGTGTTCATGGAACGGATCAATTGAACAGCCGCCTCTGCCTCTACATTCGTGAAGAGTAGAACATCATAACACTTGTCAATCATACACACACGTGTATTGAATTGAGGGTCTGGATGTCTTAGTAACAGCTATTCAAGGATCCTTACTATTTCACCGATAGCTTATAAAGAGACAAATGCCGATATTAGTATTATACTACTAACTACTACTCCTTCCAAAGTGGACACAGTCTATTATTCTATACTTACTGTAAAATTTTGTACGTCTGTCGCCAGAAACTGTTTGCCAGACTTATTAAAGTATGAAAGCAGAATATCCTTGTAAATAGTAAGCTTATCGCGGAATGCAGGTTAATAATTTCATGTCCTCGGGGGTGCCTCAGACGAGGTGGCGTGCGGCGACGCGATTCCGCGCGGTGCGGCGCCAGCCCTAACGTCGCCAAGCCGCGCCGACTAGCGACTGCGTGACGCATGGGGCAAGGGCCCTTAATTTACAGAATCGTAAGTAAAAACTGTAACACAGCAATTTAGTTGTTATCGGTAACATTAAAAAATACTCTCGACTCGTATCTAACTTGTCCAGTCAGTAAGTAAAAATAATAAGTAAAGTTAGCTGCATTGCCTGCTTTGCATAATATATTTATGCCTTCCTTAGTTTACACTAGACGTAGCCCCCAAAACAAAAGAGGAATAGAAGAAGTAGTCAAAACTCCTATAATGTTGTATTTCGGTCTATCTATACCCTAAAACGGATGTAGATACTTAACTATTTGGTAATTGGTTCATTCGTTTTAAGACTTATTCTTTAATTATGCGAAAGTTTAAGTGTTTGCAGATTTATCTGATAATCAATATTTTATTACAAAAGTGAGAAGGAATACACTTTTTTTTTAAATTTCAAGGTTAGTCTACCATCTTATTGGGTATTCAGATATTGAGTTGAGCATATGAGTACGCATTGCTGTCAGGGAGTTTGGTTGTAAAATTAAATTTTGACAAATGTTGGATACATTTAGTATTTATTTGGATACAATAGTATTAGTATGTTTTTAATAATACAGTACAATTATTTTATCATAGCTGTACCCTGCCACGCTATGTCGCGGTGGCACATTGTGTGATGAGAAATGAGGGACTAAACTGACCCGAAAACAAGCTTCGAAGCAATTTATATATCCTGTCACAATTTCAGCTTAAACGGTGCAGAACTTAACATTTTTATATATGTACCTACAGATATCTTTTTACTGAGAGCTGGAGAAGGAAAGGAAGAAAGAGGAGGAAAACTTGAAACACACCCTATACCAACCCGTCTGGCCAGCGTGGTATAGTAACCAAACCCTCCTTTCTAAGGAGAGGCCTACGTCCAGCAGTGGACTGTTATAGGCTGTTGATGATGATTGATGATGAGAGCTGGAGTTTAATTTTGAATCAAGTCACTTGTTTTGTTATCCGTATGGTAATCCCCTTGGTGTCGTAAGAGTAGACTACAGGAGCAAACTACGCAGAACAAGTTCAATCGCTACTGTTAAGTAACTCACAAGATCTTGCAAACGGTCAGACCTATCTATGGTTCTTCAACCTCATGTAGTATTGTCCGTGTGGTGACGGTTTAAGAATATGGAGGGTCACCACCCCTATGGATCCCGTGGGTGTCGTAAGAGCCGACTACGGGAGATAAACTACTCAGGACAACAGCACTGCAAAGAGAAGGAAAACTTGAAAGAGACCCTATACCAACCCGTCTTGCCAACGTGGTATAGTAGACCAAAACCGCCTTTCTAAAGAGAAACTTATGTCCAGCTGTGGACTATTTAAGGCCGTTAATTAATTGCACTGTTCCACAGTATTTATTTTATTAAACCTCGGGTTTCGCCTCACGGCATTTTCAAAGGGCATTATGACAACAACTTACTTAACATTAGATTAAATAAAATGTTCAAAACAATAATGGTTACAATGTAATTATGTATCTACATAAAACAAATATTGTTGAACAGTACAAGTGACTTAAATCCATATGTGTAGCAAGTTCCAACAAGCAAGATATCAACAACGACATCTGTCAACAGTAGTAGGCGTTTCATTTATTTTAAGTTTAAAATCTAAGGTTAGACTTTTCTTTACATTCTTTAGCAATTATTTACTTCAGTTGCAGGCGTTTATGGGCGGCGGAAGTCGCTTTCCATCCCCTATTCCATAAAAAAAAATACTTAGGTATTGATTTAAACTCCCTAGAATATATTATGACCAGCACCCATATTTTTACACATGGTCATATCCATTGCGTAAATATTAAATAAGTGATCGGTAACAGGGGGTGAAATGCACAGAGGGTTGGCGTCTAAAATTATATATCGTTTGGCTATAAGGCTGAATGGCAGTACTATCGGCGCCTCACGCAAACCGCGCGGGCGCGTCATTTTGCCGCCACTGTCGGCCAACTCTGAGTCATTCATATCTATGGCGACCTGCACCCCTTTTTTTAATAATGTCCGAATTACATAACACGATTGATTGTAGGCGGAATTTGAGATATCTGCCGAATAACTCTTCTATTCAATTTAAAATTTAGCAACATTATAACAAGCTTTACCAAGGAATTAAAATATGACTGTTTTTTTTTTTAAATTAAGTGTGTTTTAATTAAAGATTAAGGACAAAATGTAGGTACAGTTCGGAGGTAGTGTAAAGATTTTAAAACTCTCAACGGGTTCTTAAAGGAGACCAAGGTCATACAACTGAAGGTCATACAATAAAGACGAAGCTTTTAAATACAATCGAGTTATCGATAAATTAGACAATAATATTCGTAATTTAAATTTTGAAGGTTTTTCTTGATAATGTTCTGTTTGGGAATACGGGGAGGCAGAAAAGGCCGCCATAGTTGGGAACAGGCCTCCCCTAAGGTCATCATCATCACATCAACAGCCTATACAAGTCCACTGCTGGACATAGGCCTCTCCTTAGAAAGGAGGTTTTGGCCTACTATACCACGCTGGCCAGACGGGTTGGTATAGGGTTTGTTTCAAGTTTTCCTTCTCTTTGTAGTGCTGTTGTCCTGCTTAGTTTGCTCCCAAAGTCGGCTCTTACGACACCCACGGGATGAATTGGGGTGGTGACAATTTGTGTTCTTAATCCGTCACCACACGGACTTACCCCTAAGGTAAAACATCGAAATTATTTTGTAGAGTGATGAATATAAATAAAAGGATGGCTAAGAAAAAAATTACTGGAATAGATATATTATCGCTGCGTCGCCAGGGCATTTTAAAAGAGAATTCATTGGAATTCTACGTACAATATCGTAATTAGGTATTTTGAAGAAATAATGAGAGTCGCAGAGTTACAAGTCACACCTATCAGCGTGGCAACGTTAGATATTGGCGACCGTGCCGTGGCGACATTAGAAGTTTTCATAAACAGAAATCCATAGTAACTCAAAGAAAAAAACTACTTTTATGTACGTTTTCAGAATGTATCGGCACGTAGCACAGAAAAGAAAGATATAAAATGCGTAACGCGATGACTCATCGCTGTTCCCGGCCCTATTTACTGAAATGCCCTGAACTGAAATTGAGACGCCCACGCTTCGTTATTCAGAGCATTCAGAGCCTTATGACTCACGCCCCGATACTCCAATGAAAATTGGCTCGCAAATAATATATTCCTATTGTATTATCCTCTTTTTAAGTATAAACAGGCAATAAACGCTGTTGAAATATAAAAAGAAAATGTAGTGTATTTAGTTTCTTTATCTA